AAAACACCAAAGATAATCTCTAATAACAATACCAACTCCCGATTTTAAAGTAGAGGTGGCACCATCAAAATTGACTTTGACAACCCCAAGTGGTGGTTTCAACCATCAATGAATAGGAGTATCCGGTAATGGAGGATTAGATGGAAGTGGATGGTTTCAATCATCGATCAAAATTGACATAAATACTTAAAACCCCAATTGTGGAAAGGCAAACCCTAACAATGGTGTGTGCTGCAGTGTGGATGAGAATACATGCACCACACCCCAATAGAGTAGTTGTTATGAACCGTGGACAAAAAGTGTGGATTGAACCACACCACACCCCCATAGGCATTCTTCAAGGTGTGGTGCATTTCAGTCCACACCCTATGTTTTGATTCCATGCACCTCACCTACAACATGTGAGGTGATCTATGTTATTAATCAGAAAAAAGCAATACTTTATTTTTTATTAATATACATAATAAAAAATATTAGTAAATTGCTAAGAATAATTTATGAAGTTATTAATATTTTAAATTTAAATACAATTCAAAAATTAATAAATATTATAAAAATAAAAAACCACTAGGATGCTAGGAATACTAACTTTATATAAAAATAATAATTAATAAAATATACACATATTCAATTAAAAAATGTACATAACATTAAATATTATATAACAAGAAAAAACAATTTTTTATTTTTTAATAATATACATAAAAAAAGATGTGGGATAGAATTTTAGGGTAAAACATCCCATGCAAAGGCATAGGATCACTCTTGGTAAAAAATTCCAAGTAGTGTGGATCAATGCAAACACCACTAAAAATGGCGTTTTTTCAGAAGTAAAGTACTTCAATGGCACTTTACATAGTTTAGGTATTAAGGTATATATATATATATATATTTGAAGAATTCTCCGTTACCAAGGGAGAATTCTTAGCCCTCTTTCATATGGTCTTCTTTGCTCTCTAATGAAGCCACCTCATCGATGTCCTCTCCCTCGTATCAACATCTCAACATGCCTGGCCCACTTCACCGTTTTAAAACAGGGTCAATACATTTTTCCTTAGCAACGAAATTGAGTTTAGCCAAGCTGTAGCTCCCATTCGTATTGTCCTCTACTCCTGTTTACGTGAAAATCTTCTTCTTCCCCAGATAGTAGAGATTCAAAGATTCGGACCTTGGTTGGAGATTCAAAGAACAAGGGCGGAGTACTCACAACCAAGGCTTGATCGTAAAAAATTCCTTCTGCATTGCCTCCAAGGTATGTTACCTGTGTTTAATTGTTGTTTTCTAGTTGGCTTCCAGACTTCTGGTGTCATTCCGGCTTGAACAATGGCTTCTGGCTTCAAAACCAAAGAAAATCCAAAACAGGGGAGCATCTTACCCCCATAGTTTTAGAACTGGCTTAACATTTTCTCTAGCTTTTATGGTTGTTTTTTGGCATGAATAATGGCCGCCAACATTATTCTGACGTGAATAATGGCTTCCCACATGAAAAAGAAAGCAACTTAGCCCCCTATTCTGCTACTATAGTCGCTGCATCGAGCGACCACTATAGTGGAAATCGGGTGAAGAAGAAATATAACTTGGGTGGGGTTTTGCATATGTCGACCCGCACCTGTTTCCTTATTAAACCATTTTTCTATAAAATCACATACGACTATGATACGGAAATGATATGATATCTGAAAAACTTTTGACCAGTCAACTGGAATCATAAACGTGGTAGTCAATTAGGTGTTATTTATCAAAATTCATGGGTGGGTGTTGATTGGTCAAAACTCTTCCCATACCATATTTTTCAGCATCATAGATTTTCCCTTCACATCATCACCCTCTCTTGCCAACCCTGTTTCGCAATCTTTGATATCCGGTTTGGAAGGTGTTTGATGCCTATGCATTTCTAAAGAAACTAGGCAAAATGGGACACTTTGAACATAAAACTCATTTCCTTTGGCTCCCTTCTACTTCTCTATTCATTCCCCTCTTCTTCCTTTCCTTCATCCCCTATTCCACCCAAAACATCATCTTTAAAGAGACAAACAGGCATTCTATTTCCAATCAAGGCCATGTTCGTTTTTTAGAAACACATTTACCTGGGTAAATGTATTTACCCAGGTAAGTGTTTCCCTAGGTAAATGCATTTACCCATGTTCTTGTTTTGTTCAATTTATCCAAGTACATGAGATTGTTTACTTTCATATGTTCTTTTGCAACATCCACTTTCCCGGGTAAGTTGGTATTTTTTCACATCTTGCCAATTTTACCCTTTGGGCCCAAATCAATGTTTCCAACACCATTGCAATATGCATCATGAGTACAATGTTTTGTTATTAAAAACTGAACTCTAGCTCTATACACCCTTGTAGTACGCCAATTTATTCCACATTTTCACAACAACTCCAAATCAAAACAGATGTCAAAGCATTTTAGCCCTTCATTACCCAGTTCTAATTTATTTATTTGTTTTGTTAATGCAAATGAAGTAGAGCCTCAAGCAAAGTAAAACTTGGAATAAAAGCTATTTAAAAATTGCACTCTCTTTTTAAGAAAACTAAAACCTTAAGCAAAAATTGACCAACAAATTGCACTCTTATACATTTGTATTAGTGCAATGCATTTGCACTGCAAACAAATGGAGCATAAATAACAAAATGATGATACCCGGTGCTCTGTCACTACATAAACCATCAAACTTCAATGGCATTACAAACAAATGAGTAGAGTGCGCCATTTTCTCCTTCAACCCCATAACAGATGCCAAAATTGTTTAGATGAGGAGAGAGAAAGAAGCTTGTCGGAACTGCAGTACAAACAACTGCAGAGGAAGCCTGTGTCTAATTATTATGATGATGATGAGGGTTTGAAGTAACCTCCATGTTAGAAAATTGTAAAGGAAGGCTTTGGGAAAGTAATGAACTCGAATCAAAACCTTCCTTTACAATAATCTATTGGGTTGAAGCTAATTTCCATGTTATTAATATTCCTTACTCAACAATGGCAAGTTTGGTGCAATGTTAAAATCCCATTCTGACAAGCACGGGAAAGAAGGCTCTGAGTCTGAGAGTGGCCAATTCGTTCAAGAAAATGCTCGAATGTTGGGTTCATATCCAGTCCACCCCTCCCAAGATCCTAGATAGCTAGGACCAACATTAGGTAACATTCCTTTTCACTGTAATATAATATGGGAATTTAAGGATGAGTCTTTAGAACTAACACAAGTCAATCTGTTTTTATATTTCTATTGCAACAAGAGAAAGGATCAGCAATACCAAATATATACATATTTGGTGCAATTGCTGAAAATTTAGACTTTAGAAACCCGAAGTGGAGATAGATAGCTTGAATCAATCATATTACAAACTTGCATTACTACATCGCTTCCATTTCATCCTTCACTATACCCAAAAGTCATCAAATGATTTGTCTTTTGAGATATTGCTCATGATAAGCAATAACTTTTCAAGGAAGTACACTACCTCTCTGTAATCAAACGATATTTTGAGTTGTAAATACTAAACAAAACAATATAACAACCAAAGAAAAAATGGAACTCCATAGTATAAATGCAACTTTAACTAACAAGAGGAGAAAAGCCTGTATGTGGTTGCCTAAAAATGTATTAAAGAAGCTATAGAAATATCCATTCACCTCAGAGCGCATAATTGCAACTAAAATAATCTCAAATTTTACATGRATTGATTACATCCATTCACATCTAGTGATCTAGATGAGTCACAATGGGTTCTARCTCACTGAGTTCTAGTGACAAGCCTCACGACCTAGGGGAGGCTAAGGCTTGTGACTCTAAATATTAGTAACTATGTGATGTTCATCCTTCATGTCCCCAAGGTTTATGCAACCAATTCTAATGTTAGTTCCACTACACATAAGTAGTTATGAGGCAAGCCCTAGTGATTGTATTCAAGTTCATTGAGGCCACTTGTTCCAATTCTGATAAATGTAGGAATGAATTTAAGAGGGTTAGGATGTGTTTGGGAGTGATCATAGGACAAAAGACAGATTTTCCCGGTAGCCAGAACAAATTGCCATTATCATAAGAAAATCCAATATTATCTAGTGACCGAAATTCTAAACATAAATAATCTACCAACTAAACCACCACCAGTTGGCCAAGAAGGCACAATTACAACATCAGTCAAAGCCAAATTTTTTGATGGTCATAAATGTAGATAATCAAAATTGTTGCTCTAAACTAAGATCATGGTGGAAGAACTGTTATTTCTGATGAACATCAATTGTTGCATAGGTGTTTAAAATTTTCTTCCGACAAATTGGAGTCTACTAATGCTTTTCACCATTCACCTGATTGTTGTCATATGAGAAAAGCTAAGAAAAGTGTGAAATTTGTGGTTTGAGGCTAAAAGCATCCATTTTGTGCAAAAGCAATAGAGTTTAGGTAGAGATTAACCCCTCCCAAGACTCGGATAGTTGGGACCAGCATTAGGTAGTGATCCTTTAAAATGATAAAGATAAGAAAACTAAACTAATTAGCTAAAATTCAAAAACTAATTGGTGTTTTGAAAATGAAGCACCTAAATGTTTTCTTCTCTCATAGATTTGATTTTAATAAGAGATGTTAATGACCTTTCTATCAATTGAGTACCCAAACCTCAGTAATTTCAACCACGGATATGACTTAATTTCTTGAATTCTCAATAAAAAGTTCTATTCATTTCAATAGAACAGATAAAATCTCCAGTATGCCAACAGAAATGTAAAAAAAAAAAACAAAACAAAAATTGATACTAGAATGAGCATATGTTTTGCATGGATGAAAATCTATTAACAATCATAATCAAAAGAAAGGGACATGGATAAGCCTTTTTTTGCATCATAAAACAGATTAAAACTGAAATATATGGAACCATAAAAAAATAAACAAGCATTCAAAATCACACACAAGAAACGGAAAAGAGCAATAAATGGAACCAGAACTGTACCTTAATCTTGCCCCAACTACCAATAAAAGAAAAAATGCTTCCCACTGTCATTATTCCAAACTGACAACAATATGTTTTTGCTCAAACAAAAAAAAAAAAAGAAAGAAAGAAAGAAATGAAAAGAATCCAGATGTTGGTGTATAATGCACTTGTACCTGATACAAAAAGAACTTATATCATTGATTTCTCAAGAAATTAATACCATATCCTATGAAACGCCAAAAGACAACAACAATGGTGTATGATACATTTTTCTCTTATTTTTTTCCCAGTAAACTGGATAAGTATCTCCTATATTTTTGGCCATCCAAAAGCTAACATTTTGCGAACTTTTTCAAGTTCTTGTATGTTCGAAATTGTTGCACAACAACCTGCAATTAGAGCTCCTATGAGACTTCGCTTGGGCTAGATTTCTTGGTTCTCTGAGTTTTACATGCCTTAAGTAAGATTGTTTTAATAGCATCTCAATTAAACAGGATTTGGCTGGATTGATCAACAAGATAAGCATATCCTTCATTTCTTCGCTCCCAAATGTGTATTCCGCTTCACTATAAGTTTAATGTCCTCCAAAATCATTTTGGTACCCATTCTACAAATTGGATTACCAAGAATTCTGGAAACAAAAAATCAAAATAAAAAAAATGAAATCAATGAAATAACAATAAAAGAGGAACAATAAGATGAGAAACAATTTTTTGAATGGGATGAAAAAAATAAGATGCATTATGTGCATCACAGAGGAATGACAGATTAGTGGGAAGAGGAATAGTAATATTTTTTACCGTTTCAATGGATGAAAAAACAATGAGCAGCGGCGGCAACTAGGCGGAGCAGCGACGACGACAACTAGGAGGATTAATGGTGCCGTCAACAAAGGGATGACGAAGATGATAGATTGTAGGAGGATAAACTCTTTGGCATTAGTAACTAGATGGAGTAGCAGCGATGACCTGATCAAGTAGCTGCAGCAACTGAGGGAATCAGTAGCAGTGAAACTGATTTTTGAGAGAAGCAGAAGAGAGACTCTCGATTGGGGGCAATTTTGAGATTTTAAGTTTTTATCTACTTACCCTCTACTCGGGAAACCAACTTATCCGAGTCTCGCAAGGGTATCATTTATCCGAGTCTCGCAAGGGTATCATTCCCCCTTCACTTCATGAAAAGCGAACACGCCCCAAGTAAAATAAAACCGATGTGTTTTGTGAGTTTGGGGTTGAGTTTCTCGGTTTCCATATTTTTGTCCCCAAGGATGAGTTTCTACCAAGAAAGCCTCTTCGTCAGCTAAAGAGGTAGGCTCCTGCTCTTCTACAATTGAAGCTTGTTGTTCCGCCTAAATACCTAGTAAGAGCAAAATCTCTGGGGTGAAACTAAGGTATTTTTGTCATCGGTGACATTATATTCATCTTCATCATTCTCTCACGATAAAATTCTATTGGAGGGAGATTCAAAATTTCAAAAATCTCACTTCCATCCCTTTTGCTTTTTTGTCTTTTTCTCTTATCTCTTCTATGTAAAGAGTTATTATCCCACGTTGCTTAAAAAAGAAATAGATTTGAGTATATTAGTAGACTTGCATGCACATGCTGAACCGGGGTGCGTGTGCAGGTGCGGGTGTGCCTCTTCCTCTCTGTGTCTAGGTGTACTATTATGGAGAGACATCTCTTTGAAAGGACACATCTGTGTCCATTCGGGTGACCGAGAGCATTTTATAAATAGAGTGTTGGTTGATCTAGTGACACACAAATCAGTTTTTTCTTTTCCATGTTCGTCCATCTCTTAGCATTATTTCTAAGTGGTTCGTGGAGGTCATGGCGACCAATTTCCATTCACCCGACTACACCATAAGGGCAAATGCGGTTTTAAGGAGAGTGACCAAGTGGATTAGGAAAATCTAAGGCTGGGTCAGTTCAGTTTTGGTTGATTTACAAACGGCCAAACCAAAACTTGACTTAATCAAGTTAGCAAATTACTTAACCAAAGCTGACCGAAAATACTAGAAAATTGACCAACTTGAATCAAATTGGATCGGATTAATCAGTTTCATTGGTTTGATGAACAACGCTAGATGAAATTAATTATTGTTATTTTTGTATTGTTAAAATAATAATAATAATAATAATAATATATAAATAATTATTAATATTAAAAAAATATATATATAAAACAATTATCTCCTCTTATAATATATTTCTATAGTTTACCTTTTGCTTAAGAAAACCGCATGCATCGCACGAGTCCCCCCAGTTTACACAGAGGATGGAATTAATCGTTGGACGAACGATGGGAATGATCTCATCCTATTAAGTTGTGCTAAGTTGCACCTGCACAAGAAAAAGGGCAGGTAATAGCTGAGGGTGCTTTAGTCATTTTAGAACATGGAATGCCAGTAATCTCGCGTCATGGAGGGAGGCGAATAAGTGGGGCGATTATAAGTGGTAACAGAAGCCAATTTCATGCTCGTGCCTCCATGGTTTCCAGAAAAAGTCTGCTTCCATCGGTTGAGAACTGTAACGAAAACCGCGAAAGTCATGAGCCAGTCGTTAAGAACTGCATCGAAAAGAAAGAGAAAAAAGGAAAAACGACCTCACAAAATCCAAATGTCCCGCTTCCTTGCATCCCGAAGAAACCAACGATTCGCCATCAGCACGAGAGTTTTCTAGCTTATGTTTCCCATGTTCTCTTCTTCTTCTGCATTCCTACTCAGCTGGAAAATGGCGTGCCGGGATGCCGTGGATTAGATAATATTTTTCTCAAGATATTTCTTGTCGGCCCCGGCTTTCGTTTTCGTTTATTGTATATTTTGGGTTAGATTCCACGGAGATTTTGTCGCAGTTAGACCCGAGAATTCGAAGGATCTCTGCAAGTTTGCCCTTAGACCTTCGTGGCGGTTTTTAGCAAAAGTAGAAGCCAAGTTCTATCTTTACATTGACAAATGCGTGATTCGATGGTTCTCTGTGGTTTCGGTTGGGAAAGATTTGTTGGTGAGACGTCTTTGATAGGTTCTGGATTCATGATGGGGGAGACGTCTTTGAGTTGGGTGCGTCGAGATATGGAGTGTATTAATTGTGGCGATTGTTTATGTTACGGTAACGTGTGTGAGGATTTCCATTCTTTTTAGCAGGTAGGGTGCTAAAGAAGAAGCAGAAGTTTGCATATTGGTTTTTAGAATATGAAATTAGGATGAGTCCAGTTATCGGACAGGTGGAAGAATTATTGTTGAAACATGTTTGGATTCTGCGCCATTGTATAAATTAGGGTTTATGAGTTTATTCTGGTTTTTATTGAAGCCTTTGAAAAGAATACAGAGGAAACCCTGTCTCTGGGGTGCCTAGCTTTGGAAACAGATAATTCAAACAATTTGATGGTTAGCAAATAGGGACTTTTGCGTTAGTGAATCAAGGAGAGACGGGTGGGTTTTTTTTCGCTATTGTGAACAGAGGTGATTTACCAAGACGATTGTTGAACAGATATGCCAAGCATTAAAGCTCCAGCTACTAAGCAGGCAGCGACTCTCACGGTTAGTATCTACAAGTTATATGCAAATTGTCCACGTTTAGTAATGGTTGCTTTTGGTGCTTCCACTTGACATGCTCGTAAGTGTTATCTTACCATTTTCAATTGTTCTGATTTGTTGGTTTCAGGTCGCTGTAAAATGCAGGCCGTTAACAAAGAAAGAACAGCAAAAAGGTCGTGATATTGTTCAAGTTAAGGATGATAAGGTGCTGTCGTGTTCATTTTCTCTTTTGAGATTTTATCAAATGCGACCATTTATTAGCCATGGGAAAGGGAACTTATATCATAAGTTATCTCATAGGAGGTCACTCTGTTGGACCCTGACCTGTCAAAGGACTACCTTGATCGGGTTCAAAATAGAACAAAAGAGAGAAAATATTCTTTTGATTATGCATTTGGACCCGACTGTACAAACCTGGTATGTTTTATATATTTCCATATTTTAATTTCTATCTGGTTGTTTAATTTCCTATATCTTCATAAGGTTTGTGCACTTTTCCAAAATATATTTTTTTGCTTTGTTGGAAAAGTTGGTCATAGAACTGGATTCACATATGTATCAATCAACTTCCTGTTGTGTTGTCAGTAGAAGGATGGTATACATTTCTTATAGATCCCGGTAATTCCATGTTGGGTAAGGGTAAATTACTTGTACCTCTTCTGTGGTTTTAGTGAAATAATAAGATCTCCATTGGGCTTTACCAAATGACTTTTACCCTTTGACCACAAAAGTGCAGGGGATTTGTTAATGGAAAGGATGGAATCAATATAGAGAAATAGATGTTTTCTAAAATGTCAATCTTCTCCCATGCCCTGTTTTGATCGTTGATTCTAAGAAATCTTACACAGTGCCTTTCCACCTCGTTAAATATTTCTGTAAACCAATCTTTTAAAGGGATCCATAGACATCAATTCAAATGGGTCTACAACCTCTCGGTCTCCTTATTGTCCTAACTGTAGGGAACCAGTTGCTTAAACTAGCTTCTGGGCTCCGAATATGTTCCTTCTCAAACTGAAGCACCTAATCTGCATCTTCTCTATCATGGAACATAAAAAAGAAAAGACCACTGTTCAACTGTAGAAGATGGTAGAGTGGACCTTGACCTTGTCATCACTTGACGGTCTAATATCATTGACAGTCAGGCAAGATTGGATGATAGTATAGTGAGGAGGTTTCTTCAAGCATTGAGATGATGTCCAGTGTTAGGTCTCTTGAATAGATATAAGGCCTCTAGTTGGAACTATTGATAATTTGAAGTAGAATCATGGTGGTCATAATGTTATTGTTGGGATGGTGGAGGTGTTAGATATAAAGGTGACTCCTAAACATGAAAGAAGCATCATAGAAGCATTCTTTGCTTTAGAAACGGACTGAAATAAGTAAAACCGACCTTGAGCTATTGATGTAAAGTTGGCATCCATAGCTCTATTCCGACGTTAGAGACCTTCAGAAACACATCTTTAAGCTTTGTTACTTTCTTACTCTTCTCTGCAAGAAACCGAATCGGAGAACACTTTGCTCCTTGTTGAACTACAAAACCTGAAAACAAAGCACAATGGAGACTCTTCTCTCTAGTCACGGTTGCTCTCAGTTGATGGATGGCTAGTGTGTGTGTACGGGGTTCTATTTATAGAGCCCAAACCGCCTAGAGAGGGGCCTTCCTTCATGGTTAAGGAACTATAAAACCAAAGGCTTCATCAACCACTGCTTTGCAAACCATTAAATCTGAAACCATGCACTCCCTCTCTCAGTGGGAGCCTTAGGTGGGCTTCTAGAACAGCTTGCCATATCAGCAATTAGCTCCAAACATTACTGGGTCCCAGTTGCTAATTCATCTCAAGCTACTATGAATAAGTTCTAACAATCTCCCACTTAGCTGAGATGAATCTTTCTATTTACTTTATATGGCCATTAATGACCCAGTATGGTAAACCTAAGGGTATCCGTTCCATTCAGTTGAAATGACTATCCCAAATCATCAAAGTCACTTGAGTTCTATCAATTTGACTTAGGACCATTAATGGTTATAGAGTTAGCAACTTCAACCAACATGAACAAACTGCATACAATGCTTAGACAACCTAAGTACGACCCACATATCTCTGTATAATGTTATGTGTACACACTTAAATTGAGAGAAAGATTAGAGATATGTTTATCAGAATCAGAAATTTTATTGTGATCACATACAATGGTGTCAATAAGAACCATCACACTAATCCAATTTATCAAAACTATTCACCAACCCTATGCACGCTACATGCTCCAAAAAGAGCTTGGGTGGAAGTCCCTTCGTTAATGGATCAGCCAATATGAGTGTAGTACTAATATGTTCTATTAACTCAATCTGATCCTGAACCCTTTCCCTCACAATGAGGTACTTGATGTCAATGTGTTTCGACCCTGTTCTTGTCTTGTTATTCTTTGAGAAAAACACGGCAGCAACATTATCACAATAAATCCTCATCGGTCTTTGAATCGAGTCCACTACTCGAAGACTTGAGATAAAATTACACAAACATATGGCATGTCTAGTTGCTTCATAACAGGCTATGAATTCTGCTTCCATAGTAGATGAAGCAGTTCTTGCAGTTTATTTTGCACTTCTTCATGAAACAGGCCCTTCCATCATCATGAAGATATAACCAGAGGTACATGCACGAGTATCCTGACATCCAGCAAAGTTGGAATCTGTATACCCTATTACCTCCAAATTTTCTGAGTACTTATAAGTGAGCATATAATTCTTAGTCCCTTGTAAATAGCACATGACTTTCTTGGCTGCCTTCCAATGGTCGATACCAGGATTCTTTTGGTATCTTCCAAGCTTACC